TGTTCAACCTGGCCTTGGACACTTCCAGGGATGGAACAGCCACAGCTGCTCTGGGCACCCTGTGCCAGGGCCTGCCCACCCTCCCAGGGAACAATTCCTTCCCAAAATCCCATCCATCCCTGCCCTCTGGCAATGGGAAGCCATTCCCCCTTCTCCCCAGTCCCTCTCCAGCTCTCCTGGAGCCCCTTTAGGCTCTGGAAGGAGCTCTAAGATTTCCCAGAGCTTTATCCTTTCCAGGTGAACACCCCCAGCTCTCCCAGCCTGGCTCTGGAGCAGAGGGGCTCCCAGGGCTGAGGTTCTGCAGGTGGGGTCTCACCTGAGCAGGGCAGAATCCCCCCCGTTCCCTGCTGCCCACGGGGGGGTTCTGGCTCCAGTGGCTGGGGAATGTTGAGCTGCTCATCCTCCAACACCCCCAAATTCTCCTCCTCAGGGCTGCTCTGCCCAAACACTTGGGACCTACCCAAACATTGTGCAGGCACGGCTGGGTGCTGGCACAGCTGGGTGCTGGCACAGCTGGGTGTGAAGCAGCACTCCAGGGTGTTTGGGGAGGGAGGGACTGGGTGAACCCCCCCATGTGAGGAAATTTGGGGGTGATGGCTCTGGGCACAGCGCTGCAAACCTTGGGGGTATTTGGAGCTGGGTTTTGCCAGGCTGTGCCAAACCTCCTGCCCTTCCCAGGGCAGCACCCTAGGGAGCTTGGTGGCAGATCTGCACCCAAAAATAGGCTTGAGGAAGGGGCTGCACATCACCAAGGGGCCGTGAGGGCGAGGGCAGAACAGAGCTGGTACCAAGACAGGAGAGCTGTTTTCTCATGGTGCCTTTGTCTGGGGGACAAAAAAAATCCAAATCTGGGCTGTTGTTATTTATTTTTAGTCGTGCTCATTTTTTCCCCAGGCTGGGAAGCTGCTTTCCAAGGCAGGTCCCTGGAGGCTGCGGGCAGCAGGTCTCGAGCTAACACACAAAATGGCTTTGAACGGGGAGGAGGAGATGGGAGGTAAAAGCCAAGTCGTGCCCCTGGTAAATCAATCGACCTGATGGGGAATGTTTCTAGCAGGACACGAGCCCTGCCAAGAGCTTTTAGCTGCTTGCAGGAGTGACTGAACCAAGAGCTGGGATATTTTGCAGCAGCTGCTGCATGTGTGGGCACTGCTGGTCCCCAAATTGCTGCAGGGGGATTTTGTTGGGTCCCCAAACCATTTTGTCTTTGGAGGTGGGGAGCTCTCCTGCCAGCTCAGGAAGGAGAGCTCCTTTAATCCCCAGGGGTTTTATGGGATGTGAGGTTTGAAAAGCCCCCATGCCTGGGCACTGCTCACCTGAGCTGTGCAGAGATGCTCGATGGAGAACAAGACCTTTATTTTGTGGAAAAGGAGGAGGTTTTGGAGCTGTGTTGGGTCTGCAGGGGAGGCAGCTGGGTCAAACCCATGAGCAGGAGCTGGGGGTAAGGTTTAAAGCAAAATTCCTTGGCTTCCCTGCCTGACAGCCCCTGGCCTGGAAATTGGGCCCTGGCACATGGGGAGAGGTGGTGGGGTGACTCAGAGCTCCAATCAATGATAATTAATTCAATGATAACAAATGAAAGGGAGACAGGGAGAAGAAAACACACCGAGGGATTAATGCACCAGGGACATGTGGCTTGGGGTTGGCTTGGGAAGTTTTGGGCAAGAGCAGCTTTGTGGGAGGGGAGGGTTGGGAGGGATGTGGTGAGGGTGATGTTTTTGCCCTGCTTTTCATTTATGCCCTCAAAATCACCAATTCCATGCGTGGTTTCCCTTGGAGAATCATTGCCCAAGTCTCCATCTCTGCCACCATTCTGAGGCTTTTTAAAACCATTTTTCCCTGACTTACAGATGGATCATCAGCATTTTATCCCTCTGGAAAAGGCCACTTCACTTTGTGGTTACTCTGTTTTCTGCATCCTGCTAGGCCGGGGTCCCCTGGAATCTCAGTGTCCCTCTCCCTCTCCTATTTCTCTCCACAGAGCTCATGGAATCAAATATCTCATGCCATGTTTCATCTTTATGTCTTTAATTGCAGATTCCTGCCAGGACACCCTCGCTTCCAGTTACCCCCAGGGTGAGGTGGTCACCTTCTCCTGAGCCCCAGCTGGATGCAGGCACCACCATGGGAGGGACATCTTCCCCAGGGGTGCCTTCCCCAAGGGGCAGGGATGTGTATCCCCAGGGATGCTTTCCCCGAGGTGGAAGGATGCTCTCCCTGGGGCCGAGGGATGCTCTCCCCAAGGCTGGGACAGGCACTCCCCCAGGGATGTTTTCCCTCAGGCTGGGACATGCATTCCTCTAGGGATCTCTCCCTGGGGCCGAGGGATGCTCTTCCCAAGGGAGATGCTCTCCCTAAGGCTGAGGGACACCCTTCCCAAAGCCCAGGGATGCTCTCCCCAAGGCTGGGCCATGCATTCCCCCAGGGATGCTCCCCCCAAAGCCCAGGGATGCTCTTCCCAAGGAGCTTTCTTTTCCCAGAGCTCCAGCTCCATGCCCGGGCTGGGGCTGGCAGCTGGGTCCCCCCGAGAGGTGCCACAGAGCAGCAGGGTCAGGAGGGAGGTCGGGGACAGCCCCACTCCCCTGCCCGGTGCCAGCCCTGCCACGGCCACGCTGCCCCAGCACCCCCTGGGCTGCCCCCTCCCCTTGCCCACGCTTTTGGCTGCACCTCACCCTCCACCTCTGGAGATCCAGCTGCTCACCAGGACATCTCTGCCCGTGCTCTGACCCCTCCATTGTCACACGGCCACTGGGAGCCCTTCTCCGGGGTGCCAAAGGCTCCACTCCAGGTGCCACCACTGCTCCCTCCCCGGGTGCTGATCCCACGGGCACAGGGGGACGAGTGGGGTGGGTGGGGGCAGGGATGGGGATGGGAAGCAATAGGAGACCGAGGTGTGGGGATCCCGGGGGCCTGGAGGGGGCAGGGTCCTTCCAACGCTGTTCCATATCTCTGTGACCAAGGCAATACTCCTGTCTCCGTCTGTCCTGTTCGCATGCCTGTCCTGTATAGACTTCCAATAAACACATCCATGAGCTGAGTCAGCTCCTGTACCCCTCCTGCCTCCCTGGGTCTTTGCCTCTGGCTCTCCGTGTGCCCACACAGTCCTGTCCCAACCCTGGCTGTCCCTGGCGGTAGGAATGGGGATTTTGGCCATGGCATTGCCTCAGTGTTGCCTGGATCACCTCGAGGGAGGTGATTCTTCCTCCCTCCTCTGCTCTCATGAGATCCCATCTGCAATGCTGCATCCAGCTCTGGAGCCCCCATCATTCAAAGGACATGGAAGTGTTGGGGTGGGTCCAGAAGAGGCCATGAAGTTGATAAAGGAACTGGAGCATCTCCCCTATAGAGACAGGCTAGGATTGTTGGGGCTGTTCAGCCTGGAGGAGAGAAGGTTCTGTGGAGACCTCAGAGACCTTCCAGGGTCTGGAGAGTCTACAGGGAAGATTGGGGAGGGCAGTTCTTCAGAAACTGGAGTGGGAGGACAAGGGGGAATGGCTTCAAGCCAAAACCAGGAAATTTAAGTTTGATATTGGGAAGAAGTGAGGGTGGGCAGGCCCTGGCACAGGGTGCCCAGAGCAGCTGTGGCTGCCCCTGGATCCCTGGAAGTGTCCAAGGCCAGGTTGGACCGGGCTTGGAGCAGCCTGGGACAGTGGAAAGTGTCCCTGCCATGGCAGGGGTGGCACTGGATGGGCTTCAAGGTCCCTTCCCGCCCAAACCATTCCGGGATTCTGGGATTCCGTGTTGTGGCTGAGCTCTTTGCTTTCTCACACGGCTTGGAGCAGAGCCCACACTGGAAATCCCAGGGAAGAACCATCCCTGTGACCTCCCTGTGACATCCCTGTGACATCCCTGTGACATCCCTGTGACATCCCTGTGACCTCCCTGTCATGGGGGAAAGGCCCCCCAGAGCTGACCCCGGCCACCAGACAGGACCCACAGCATTGCTGGATCAGCAGGGCCATCCTTGGCTCTCAGAGGGAGCACCAGGATGGGGTGAACGGGCTGGTCCTGCTGGGCTGTGTGGGCCTGACCTCATTCCTGACTCCACAGGTAATATTTCCATCCTTTTTGGGCTGTACCCCCTCGGCCCAGTGAGAGCCCTCGGAGAACCACAGAGCCCTGGCACAAGTCTGGGTGCCCCAAATCCCTGCCATGAGCTCGGGGCTGCAGCTGACACCTCTGGAGATCCTGGGGCTCTACCTTTGACAACATGAGCTCTTTTATTTGAGAGTGGTGGTGTAGGAAGAGGCTGGGATGGACAAAACCAGCGAGGGAACTGAAAAGCAGCATGAGACTGGAAAGAAAACATTCCCAAATGTGAGTGATTGGTGGCTGGAGGCCAAAGAGCAATTACAGAGAGGAGAAGAGAGAAGAGAGAAGAGAGAAGAGAGAAGAGAGAAGAGAAGAGAAGAGAAGAGAAGAGAAGAGAAGAGAAGAGAAGAGAGGAGAGGAGAGAGAAGAGAGAAGAGAGAAGAACCTTCCTCCAAGAGTCTTCTGTTCCCCTCTGTGGCTGCAGAGTCCTCGGGAGAGCCCCGTGGTGCTGCCAGCTGTGCCAGGCCCTGCTCTGCCAGGCTGTGGGCATGGATCCATCATGGGATCCATCATGGGATCCATGCTGGGTGCTGGGGTTGGCTGATCAGGGAGGGTCGGTCAGGGGGTGCTGAGCCCTGCACCCCACAGGGTCCTGCCAGGGACCACGAGTGCCTGGAACTCTCAGCACTTGGAACATCTCAGAATTTGGATCATCTCAGAATTTGGAACATCTCAGAATTTGGAAACATCTCAGCAGAGCCTGGGACCTGCCCAGGGTGCCCCCGGGTGACCTCGAGGGGACAGGAACAGCCCAGGCTGTGGCAGGGGGTGTGGGGACAGGGTGGTCACGCTGTCAGGGTGGTTGGGGCAGAACTGGCTGGAGATGATCCCTAGCAGCAGGGTGAGGTCCCTGCTCCAGCCTGGACAAAGCCTCTTCCCACCTCCATTCCAATTGCAACCTGTCCCTCTCTGATCCCTGGGCAAAAAAAATTAGGGAGGAAGAACAAACGGGTGGCTCAGGGATGGAATGTGTGTGCACGGATCCCCACGGGCCCCTCTCCTTCCTCCTCCTGCTTTGGGACAGAGCAAAATCCCTCCACGCCTGAGCCTGGGGCTGCAGGGTGGGAACTGTGCCCCCAGCCTCAATTCGGGGCCAGGGGAATGAGTGGCCAAACGTCTCTGAAGCTGCCGAAGGTGATCCATGAGCCAGGTAAGGTCCTGCAGCCCAGGACCCCTGGGGGTGTGGGGATCCCAAACTCCAGCCAGTGCAGGGCTTGCTGGGCACCATGGGCTGGGCTACCGGGCAAGGCCGTGGGCAACCTGACTTCCCAACAGAGCATGGAGACACGGGAATGCTGTGGGGAATGGAGCTGGGGGAGGCTGAACCTCACATGGACCAAAACCCTCCTGGGGGAGCACCAGGATCAGGTGTGGAAGAGCCACAGCTCCTGGAGGGAGCAGAAATCCCAAAGGAGCAGAAATCCCAAAGGAGCAGAAATCCCAAAGGGGAGCAGGAAGGTCAGTTCATCAATGCCCTCCAGTCCCCAGGAGGACTCCAAACCTTTCCTGGACCCAGGCATCGCCCCTCGCTGGGCAGTGGGATTCCTGGCATTCCCACATCCCCACTGAGCAGATGACCCTCCCTGCTGGGCGGTCCCAGCCCAGCCCGGCTCCGGCAGCCCCAGCCCGGGGCTGGCAGGGATTTTGTCGGTGCCACCGCTTGTTTGGAGCCGCAAGACTTGGATTCCGGAGCTTTTGGCACGATCTGCTCCTGGCCCGTGTTCCTTGGCTCTGCATCCCTCTAGGTGTGAATCCAGCCAAGTGGGAGAAGGGAGACAAGGGATGAGGACAGAGCCTGGCATGCCCTGACACCAGTCCCTTTCCCTTCCCAAATAAAAATCTCCCTTTTCCCCATCATCCCAGAGCATTTTTATTTCCTTTCCTTTATTTTTGAAGCCAAGGAGACACATGGAGCACCCGGGGACACGCGGCTGAGAGGCAGAAATGCCCAGTGGGAGGGGACAGGGACAATGACAGCATCCCTGGCTCGGGAATGGGATTAACCATCAGGTGCACTTAAAGGAATTTTAATCAACAAAAGATAGGGCTGTCAATAAAAACAAGTGCGAGGCTCCGAGGCACCACGCCAGGGGATGAGAGCAGAGTTTTTAATCTAGGAAAGTACCCGCTGGGAGGGAACAGCCGTGGAGGTGGCTGGGGAAGGAGCTGCATCCAGCCAGGGAAAGGGAAGGGGCCAAACCTGAGCTGGGGAAAGGGATGGGTGCTCTGTGTGGGGCTGTTGGGATTCTCCACAGCTGCTTTGTGCCTCGGTTTCCCCACTCCTAAGAGGAGATGTTTGATCACCCCTTTCAGAGGGGAGATTCGGGGTGGGGATGCAGAGGGAGCGTTGCAGGGCAGGGGTGAAGGCAGCAGTGGGATGTGGGATAAGGATGGAGCAAAGCTTGGGAGGGCAGCAGGAGCTGAGCACCCTGAGGGAGCAGGAAGGGCCAGCTCCGGGCCAGGATGCATTTCCAGGGCTCCAGGAAGGGTAAACCATGGGGAGCAGCCTGTACCCCACCAGGGGCAGGTGGATCCCTGTATCCCTCCTCTCTGCATTCCATGGTGTGGGGCTGCTCACCTCTAGGACATTCCTGGGGATTTTGGGAGGGGAGGTTCCCTCGATCCAGGTGTGTTTCCTCCTTCCCACCTTGGAAAGATGAGGAGATTGATTCCCTGCTCTAATCCCAGCTCTTGGTTGAGGATGCCACAGCCTGGGGAGCCAGGGGGCTGCAGGGGGTGGAGCTGGGGGCACTGGACGGGCTCTGAACCCAGCCCAGAGCAGCTGCGAGCTCGCCCAAGTCTCTGGTGCAGTTGATGTCCCCGGTCAGAGCCTTGGAGCGAGGATGGTGAAGGTAAGGGATGGGGTTCAAGGGGCTGCCATGTTCACTTTGGGATCAGTGGGATGCTGTAAAACCCTTTTCCCCTGCAGAGCCTCAGCCTCATGTGCTGGATGTACCCTGGCATCAGGTGGAGCCCCCTCCCCCGCCTGGGTGTGATCAAAGACCCCTGAGCCAGCCTCTCTCCAGCCTCCAGGAACCTTTATTCATGGAACAGAACTATGGAATGGTTTGGGTTGGAAGAGACCATAAATCC